AGGCGAGGGGGCGCGCTCCCGGGCACCTGGAGGACTGGGTGGGCCGCGCAGGAAAGGAGGCCACCGCTCGAGGGATTTTACTTCGTTTCCCAGCGCCCCTCCCCGGCTCCGCGTCGTGCGGGGCAACGGGCCTGGCTGCTAAGGGCGATGGTGCCGCCTACTGGCAGGGAGCGCTCCGCTCCGGACCCCGCATTCCCAGGCCCAGGAGGAACTGAGCGAGGGGTGTGGGGCCCGACTGCGCCCCTAAAGGGGCTGGTCCTCGTTGTAAAGAACCCCAGAACACAAGATTCTAACCACAATAGCCTCCTCCTCCTCCAAAACTCACGAAATGAGAGCTACTAACATATTCCATAGTGGTTAAACCTCCTATTCTAAATGCAGGCTTCCCAGGTTAGAATCTGGCTCCTGGTTCTTTCCCGGCTGTGTGTCTTTGGACAAATAACTTGATTTCTCTGGGTTCATCTGTAAAAGTACTTTCTCATTGAGCTGATTTGAGGGTTATGAAATAATATAAACTGCTTAGCACACTATCTTGTACATACATTAGTTAAGAACACAAATGATAGCTTTAGTTAATAATATATAGGCAGGCACTGTCTTAAGAGTCGGGCTGGGCCCATACCAGCTGTTTATCCCAGCCTCTCTGGGGCTGACTTTCCTGTCCCTAAAAACAATCATCCCAAGGGTTTCTTCTGGTTACAACCTTCCCTGGTTTTAAATTAGCCTCTGACATCTGGAACCTGGCCAATTCTGGGCTGGGCTGGACTGCCTTTAAAAGGCACACCAAGGAAAGCTACAGAGCCCTATGAGAGTCAGTGGCGACAGCTGTTTGAAAACCAACGTGGACACAATCTCTGGGAACTGTCCTTGGCCAATTTTCCCCTTGGGCTGTGTTTTTAAAATGCCTGCTAAGTCTCATGGGTTTCAATCCTCACCTTTCTCAAAGGAGGCCCTTCAAGCCAGTTCCTGATATGTTTAAGTGTGGGAATAACGAAGAAAAAGAAAACAGACTTGAAATCCCTCTCCTCCTCCAGAGCCCTAACAAGCCTCCTTAGCTTTCCTGACTCATTTTCTAGAGACTTTCTCACAGCCTCCGAGATCTCCCAAACCCCAGGATGGGCCCTCACATCCTGTAGGTGGAGCCTCTAGCTTTGTGTCCACACAGTTCATCTGGTCAGGCAGGCGGGTTACAACTCCTCCCCTAAAGGAGTACATACCAGGGGCCTCCAACTTTGAGGGTCGGGAAGGGGACGACTGAGAGCCTCCAGGAGGAGCCAGGGAAACTGCTGGACACATGCAAGTGCTTTAAGCAGCCAACTAGTGACTTAATGTCCTGCTTTTCAAACACCCTTGGAAAGTCAGTTTCAGGTGAGTTCATTTTCAGGCTGATGTCATTATACAAGAGTGTAGGACAGATCTCAGCCTTGGCTGCACATTGGTATCACCTGGGTATTTAAAAAATACTAATGCCTGGGTTCCACTCCCAGAGATTCTGACTTAATTGGCCTGGATTTTGGGGTTTTAAAAGCTTCCTAGGTGTTTCTGTTTAGGTAAGGTTGAGAATCACTGATTTAGAAAGCAAAGACCTACAGGGAATAAAGACTCATATACTGCAAATCCCAGAGATATATATGGTTATTGGGGCAGAGGTTGGGGGCCAGAGAGAAAATGGAGCCCTTCATCCCTTCCAGCCTCACTTAGGTGGAATGACAACAAAATATTCAAAGCAAAACCACTGGGGACGCCACCTCATGAATGACCACCTTTTAAGCTAGGAAGAGCCCACTTCTGGAATGGGATGCGTAAAGTATGTTGGTAAATTAGAAAAATGTTTTTAGTAGGATTAGAAAAATGTAGAACTGTTTTACAGTTCTAAACTGTGTATGTACAAGGTAATGACAGGGAAATACCCTAAACACAGATGTAATATAATACTACCTCAGGAAGCTGACCTCTCTCCCACCTCCCCCTTTCTCTAGTGACAACTGTCTCTTCCTGCTCAAGTTGACTATTTTTTACTAGTTAGGAAGCACTCTCAATATAGCATTTCTTCACAGACTTCAACATCCCTAAAATGTCTTAAAGGGGAAGGTGATCAATATGTACTACCAAAAAAAAAAAAAAAGTGTACCATATTAGGGACAGTTTTCCAGTTAGGAAAAAAAAAATCAAAACAGGGTTTCCAAAACCTCCCTCCACTGCTGGCCCCACCCCCTCCCTCCAGCTGGCTTTAAATACCCTCTTTTCCACTTCTGCCCCACCTCATTCCTAGGCTCCCTTAAACAAGACTTTTCAATAAAGACCTGTAGCACTACATATTCACAATAATTATAATCTATTTTTCCTTAAGAATTGTATCTTTTCCCCCTTCTCTTGCCTTCAGCCTTACTGGGCTATTTTCAAATTCTCTGCATTCTTTACCTTATAAGGAATATCTCTCCTTGATCTATCAGCGGCTCTTTTGAAAAAGCTAAAATAAACGTCCTGCTGGAGAATTTGGGGGAGACAGACATCCTCCATTTAGCCTTATACAGAGCAGACATCTGATCTACATTATACAACGCAGGCAGAGTTGTTTTCTTTGGCTTCTTTTTCTAAAGCCAGGTAGTTTGTAACTTAAATATTTTAGCTAAAACAGTGTTTCCCTGACTCCCTTTCCAGGAACCTTGATTTTCACGGAAATTTTTGTCGTCAGATTCTACATGTCCCCAGTCTGGGTTTCTCATTTACAAACATACTTGGAGATTATATTTCAAGCCTTTCATACCACAAAAAGCCTTTACTGATTTCAAGACCCAAGACCCTCCAGCAATTTGCATTTTACTCTCAGACAAAATATTCTGCCAGTTGCACTTGGTAGTTTAACTTCTGGGCATAGCTTTTCCTGGTACTCATTCATTCTTGGAATGGTTCCCAAGGAATTCTTTCCTAATTGGGCCTCTAGGCTTAATTAGCTTCTAGAACGGAATCGGGCAGTGTGAAAAGAAGTCCTTTGGAAATCTAATGCTTGGCTTGACTTATGCAGCAGAAGAGGCAAGCTCTTTAACTAAAGAGATTCCTCCAAAGGGCAGTGAACAGAGTGCTGGTAGAGCTTTTGCATGTTTGCATCACCCCTGAAACTATGTGGTGGTTGTCAGAAGGCTGACAGGTGGGGGTGGGGTGAGCAGGAGGGGCAGGGGGCAGCTAGCTCACTATACCATATAAAGCACTGAGCTATATATAACCCCCAGCTTACTTTTTGGATCTAGTGCCCTCAGACTGCAGACCCAAGCAAGTATCATCTTCCCAGGCAGATCTTAAGGGCTGAATTAAGCCTTCCCTAGTGGGAAGGAAGTCCCAAGAGTCTCCAAGCCCCACCATCAAGCTCAGCCTTCTACGTAAAAGTAGCCCCAAACCATTCCCTTAATCTAGAGGCCAGGCCCTCTGTATCCTGACTAGACATACCACCAAAAACCAGGACTTCCCACCCACCAGAGATGGCAAAAGCAAAGAGAGAAACTAGGCATTCTGCTTGCACAAACCTTGGTAAGGACACCTCAGAGGTTTTCTGCTATCAGGGAGGCAAGGTTCACCCCCCAGCATCCAATTTCAGCTGCTCTGTGCTCCCAGCTTCTCACCGACACCCCCCCCCCAACCCCCAGAGTGGGAGCAAAGAAAGAGAAAAACAGAGAGAGGAATGGATGAAATATAAACGGATGTGTGCAGGAGCAGTCTGAGGCAGCATCAGTGCTCTGGCCATGGCCGGGCTATAGGCAGGTGTCCAGCAGGAGGAGGTGACCCTCCTCCAGTGCTCTCTGGCCCCCTGTGGTGACTCCAGAGTGGCCAGGCAGGCAGGAGGTGAGGGAGGCAGTGTGTGGTGCACTTACGTCGGTGGCCTTTTTTTCTGCCAGTTCCAGCTTCTCCTGGGCATCTTTGAGAGCCTCGGAGTACTTGTCCAGTTCATCTTCAGTGCCCTTGAGTTTCTTTTGTAGCGACACCAGCTCATCTTCCAGCTGGGAGTTGGCCG